CTGTTTAGCTATGTCATTCATGAAGTCACAATCTGCTATGTAAAGTCTACCTTAATTCCTCCTGTACTCCCTCATTCCCCATATTTGTTATGAGTCTTTTCCTCATGGCCTTTCCCCAGCCAGTAAAGTTAGAAATACGATATCCAACAGGCTAATACATTTTGGAAACAACCTCTACATGTTATAAACCCCACAGTACCTTGTTTTATTTCTGCTTCAACTAATCAATTGTATTTTAGAAATATTAAAGAGTGAGAGCATTTCCACTGTTCTTTATTCCTTTGTGTAGATTGAAATTTCCACCTCATGTTTTCCTTTCCTGCCTAATGAATCCTTTAATATTTCTTATAGTACAGGTCTGTTGGTGAGAAATTCTAAAAAAAAGTAAAACCTTGCCCTAGCCAGTTTGGCTCAGTGGATAGAGCATCGGCCTGAGGACTGAAGGGTCCTAGGTTTGATTCCCAGTTAAGGGCACGTTATCTCAGTTGCAAACTCCGTCCCAGCTCCAGCCAGGGCATTTGCAGGAGGCAACCAATCAATATGTCTCACTTTGATGTTTCTCTCTCTCTCTCCCTCCCCCCCGCCTCTCTCTCTGCTGCCTCTCCCTCTCCTAGGAAGGAAGGAAGGAAGGAAGGAAGGGAGGGAGGGAGGGAGGGAGGAAGGGAGGGAGGGAGGGAGGGAGGGAGGGAGGGAGGGAGGGAGGGAGGGAGGGAGGGAGGGAGGAAAATAAAAACCCCCCAAAATTTTAAAAAGTATAAGCTGGGTAAATCATAGGCTTATCCCTTTCATTGACTTTCTCTCAGGGATCACTATTACCCAATGTCTTAAAATTGTTGTTTCATGTTTTGTCTGGTTTTGTAGGTAAATTGAAAGGGCAAATCTTATCTATTTTATTCCATCATGACCGGAAGCAGAAGTCAGATCCATTCACTTGCATGTCTAAATACTTTCCATGTATTTCTAAGTTTATGTAATGCATTATTAAACAATTCTTAGACCTTATAAGCAGCACAATTATCAAACCATAAAGAGAAACACAAAACTCAAAGCAGTCTTCTCCTCAGGATCACTAACCTAGAATCTTAAGAGTTGGATTCAAGAAGTTAAATTTCCACAAATTAATAATTTCTAGTATTGTTATCCATTTTTAAATATTTCCATTTTTTTGTGACTTTCAATTTACCTTTGCAACTAATTCCTCCTCTCTATAACCTTTCTTCCCTTGATTAGATTATTTCTATTAATAATCACTAGACCCAGTACAGATCTACAATGTCCCGATGTTACCAGCCTTCCTTTCCTATTTTTTACAAGACAGCTAGTTCCCACATTCCATTTTTGGGAAGTTTCATTTTCTTAATAATAAGGTAAAATGTCAATCCTGTCAATCATTAGTTCTTGGAACTACACAGGAATTTAACTATTCACAATAAAAATTTGCTCATAAAAACATAGTTAAAGGCCTACTGTATGAAAGGCATTGTGGTCTACTCTTCTTTTAGGAAAAAGACCCGAGAAAAGGTGGGCTAATGGTTTTCTACACATACTCCAAATATAAAACTTCTGGATTTTATTTTCCTTATAAACTAAATCTGTTCCATTTTACTTCTAAGATCTTACATTCCTTGTCTAAAAAATGGTAAGAATAACTTGTCAGTCACCTTATTTTGGAGAAAGTTTTAATGCAGCCTATAAAATTGACAGGCGATACAAAAAAATAAGAAATAGTTATTAATGAAAATATCTATTTCAGGGAAGAAGTATAGAATTGAAGAGAGGACAAATTACTTGCAAAAGAACCTTAGATTCACAACTGAATTAAGTATCTATAATAATCTATAATAATAAAGCATAATATGCAAATTGACTGAATGACCAAACAGCAGAACGACCATCCTGCTGACCTTCTGGACGACCAAGCGATGACACACACTGGCGCCAGGCCAGCCAAAGCAGATATGATGAGATTGGTCAGGGGCCCAGCCATCGCCCTATGAGCGCCCTGCAGAGGGTCTCCAGGCCACCCACCGGCGGAGTAATCAGTAAGTTGGGGGGCTCCACAATGGCTCCAAAGAGGGAGTCCCAGGCTTCCTGGCCATTGGTGCTGCAGCAGGTAGCCTGGGCCTTCCTCTGAGGGGGCAATCCATCTCCGAGCCCAGCTGGGTGAGCAGGGCCTACCTCTTTGATGTGATCAATAGCGGGGCTCCTGGACTGGCTCCTGGACTGTGAGAAGGCACAGGCCGGGCTGAGAGGACCCCTCCCCAGCCCCGTCAGTGCACAAATTTCATGCTTTAGGCCTCTAGTTTTTAAATGAATACAAATACTTAAGAAAACCTAAGAATTCCCCATCAGAATGTTAGTTTCTAACAGGCAATAACTTTGAAAGCCTGAGAAGTAAGGTACTTTAAAAATGGTGCTTTTTAAAATGGTTATCATCATCATCATGGACATTGACTTGGCACCTGCTTTCAAGATTACTATTATTCTGAACTCAGAAGACAAGTATTCCCTACAAGTTATGGCTAGGCTTGACAGAGATAAAATAGACAAATTATCTTTCCTTCCCCTCATCGCTTCTAAATAATGTAATTTCCATTAACTTTGCTTGCTAAAAAGCCAGCCTCTGAGGGGACCGGGGAATGGAAAATCTGTCCTGGTGAATGCTGCCTCTGTAAGGGATCTCACTGAGGTAACCGCCATAGTAAATAGCAAGAACTCAGCTCATAGCCTACTCATTGCTGCCCCCTAGAAGGTTTTGCATAATCTACAACAAACAGATTACATTCCTGTAGAATAACTGACCCCTTCCCATTTAGCAGAGGCAGGCAAAAATGGTAAGAGTCCACTGATTAATGACTCCAAAGAAAAACACTTAATTGGTGGATTAAGAAAAACACTTAATTGACTGTCCTTGATTTTCATTTTGCCTTTTGATTTGGTAAGCCTTTTTTTCCTTTCTTTCTGTATTTGATCCAATGTTCTAATATCACTATTTTGAGCCAAAGAAGCAAGGGTGGCCTGACCCATGTGGCTCAGTGGTTGAGCATCAACCCATGAACCAAAAGGTGACTGATTCTATTCCTGATCAGGACATATGCCCAGGTTATGGGCTCAGTTCCCATTAAGGGGCATGCAGAAAGCATGATCAATGATTCTCTCTCAACTCTGATGTTTCTATCTCTCCCCGCCTCTCCCTGCCTCAGAAATCAATAAAAAATATTTTTTTTCCATTAAAGCCCCTAAAGCAATATCAAACCATACGTTCTTTACTATTCTTGATCACAGATATTATTCAGAAAGTGATGAAAATTTGTATCTTATAAATTCACAGTGGCAAAGAGAAAGGGGCTAGTCCAGTGGCTTCAGGAAAAAATTAACATGCTGGGCATGACATATGGCTCTCAACCTCCATACATCTAATCCTAAAACAGGATCCAATTTAAGATTCTGAGGCAGTATGATACAATATATGCTTGGGTCTGAATCCTGGCTTTGCTATTCATTAGCCATATAACCCCACACATTTCTTCATCTTTCTATATTTTGTTCCTTCATCTATAAAATAGAGACGATAAAATTATAATATCTACCTCCAAGGGCTGTAGTGGCCATTACATGAGCAGAAAGCATAAAACACTTAGAATTGTGCCTACATGAGGTAAATGCTCAATAGATGTTTACCAATATTATTATTATTATTTGGAAAATCCTTAGCATACAAGACAAGGATACAGGTATGTAGACTATCCAGTGCTTTCTATTCTGAATATCTAAAAATCCTCCATCGTTGTGAAGCTTAAATATACACCAAAATATCAGGCAGGGATGCTGCCAGTGAGCCTGAGAAAGGGGGCAGGTACTTAGGAAAAAAGCAAACTATTTTCTTCTTTTGCTATGAAATACCCTTCTGAAATAAAACAAGCTTCTCCTGTATAGGTATAGGACAGATCTGTTTTAAGACCACAATGTAATATATTTACTTAAAATAATTTGAACTCTCAAAAGCTGAGAGCCGTAACTTTTTTAACCCAATATATCAACTATTTAACAATATAATTTTTTAAAATGTCAGTTTTAAAAATAAGCCATTTTGTCACTTAGGTTATTTAAACTTTTGGAAAGTTTAAATAACCTAAGTGACAAAGAACAAGTAGATATAGAAGTGGAAGTAGCAATGGATTCCTAGATGGAAACTATTCCTTCATGCTACAACATGGTCAGCTATTATTTTCTCTGAAGATGTGAGCCGCTTAAAGACAGAAACAATACGAATAAGTCAATGTCCTTTCCCCAGTGTACAAACTGTCAATATATAAAAAGGTAAATGAGCACTTCTCAGACATTAAAATAGATAAAATCATCTGAGATACTTTTTTAAAATGCGTATCCCTACCACACTGCTTCATAGTTATTCAGGAGAATTGAGAAGCATGTGACAGTTTATTCTGATCCAGGTCATCCAAGGACCAAACTTTGAGACTCAAACAGTGAGATAATGCCTTGATTTAATTTCCACTTGCTGTTCACTTACTATCCTATATAATATCCTATATAATAAAAACATAGTATGCAAATCAATCAACAGCAGAACAAAGTTGCTATGACGCGCACTGACCACGAGGGGCCAGACACAGAAGCTGCCCCCTGGTGGTCAGTGTGCTCCTACAGGGGGAGCACTGCTGAGCCAGAAGCTGACTCACAGCTGGCAAGTGCAGTGGCGGTGGCTGTGGTGGTGGTGGTGGCAGTGGTGGTAGAGGAAGCCTCTCCCACCTTCACTGCAGGTGGGTGATAAGGAGCCAGGGGTCCTGGACTATGAGAGCCCTGGACTGCAAGAGGGATGTCTGATGGGGCCTAAGCCAGCAGGTGGACATCCCCAGTGGGGGTCCCAGACTGCAAGAGGGTGTAGGCCAGGCTGAGGGGACCCTCCCGCTCCGCCCACCAGTGCGCAAATCTCGTGCACTGGACCTCTAGTTTGAACGTAAAATCAGGTGCAAGATTACCTCATCATTGAGCCAATTCAGATGGTTTAGAGTTTGAATATCTTTGCGTGTAATGGTCAAACGGAATGCTTCACTAAGAACTTCATCCTGGTTCCCATTACGAAATACATTCTTAATCTCCTTCTCCATTTCCTAGAGAAGGAAGAGGTGTCAGAGATTAAGCATACATGGCTTCAGATACACCAGATTTCTCACCAAGTCCCACACTATTCCCAGACAATTTATCATTAATCAACTGTTTACTTCTAACATTTGGTTTCTATTTCTCCCAGTAGTAATCTCCCTGATTGCTTTTTCTATCCCACCTTGTCCTCCCCTTCTCTATTTCAGCACAACAGTTCAGACCCTTGTTTCATTTTATTCCTGCTATGAAATATGTTATTCTATGATGCCGAAGCCGGTTTGGCTCAGTGGTAGAGCATCGGTCTGTGGACTGAAAGGTCCCAGGTTCGATTCCGGTCAAGGGCATGTACATTGGTTGCGGGCACATCCCCGGTAGGGGGTGTGCAAGAGGCAGCTGGTCAATGTTTCTCTCTCATCGGCATTTCTAGCTCTCTATCTCTCTCCCTTCCTCTCTGTAAAAAATCAATAAAATACATTTTTTTAAAAAATGGTATTCTTTGAGAAGATCTAATTATATTTTTGATCCAAACAATTTTCTTTCCCCAAAGATAGGAAGAGGCAAGTAAAGGTGATCTCTTTTATTTTATTTCTTTAAAGGTAGTTTCTTACAGAAACATTTTCCTGGATTTTTTGTTATTCTTTTTTAATATAAAACATAGAATCCAATACAACTATAATACATGTATTATACTCACCAGCTATGTGAGTCTTTCAAACAGAGGCTGGATTAAGGAACAGATTACTTTAAAATGTACACATACTTTATGTATTTTCCAAATTTTATACTGAGTTTTTATTACTTATAAAAATAGTAAGCCTCAGCTTACTGTACATGAAATGAAACACAAATTTATTAAATGCTTTTTACTTAAGTTGCTAAAACCCACCCATAATTCTTTCCTCAATGTGCAATAATCATTTAAAAATAAAGCCAACACTGGGCTGTATTACAAATGAAAGGAGTATGCAATACAATTTTTAAAATTTTTATTTTTCAATTTCAGCTTACATTCAATATTATTTTGTATTAATTTCAGGTGTACAACATAAATTACTTATATAATTTATGAAGTAATTCCCCCCATAAGTCTAGTACCCACCTGGCACCATACACAGTTATTACACTATCATTGACTATGTTCCCTCTGTTGTGCTTTATTTCCCCTTGACTATTTTGTAACCACCTATTTATATACTTCTTAATACCTTCACCTTTTCACCCAGCCCCCTGACTCTCCTCCCTTCTGGCATGTGTAATATAATTTAAATACCACGTGTTCTATTACATTTATGTTTTAAACTTCTCCAGGGCATTATTTCTAAATATAACAATTGTTGGTACAGGAATTAAATAATTTACCTCTGTGATTTCAGGAAATTCATCTTCACTATCAGTTAATTTACGACCTTTTTTTTCTGTTTCTTGAGCAATTGTGACAGGGATCTCCTTTTCAAGAGGTACACGAAGACGCAATTCTACTGAATCATGTACTGAATGTTCCTGTTCCTGCAATCTCTGAAAGACAGAACTTCAGAATAAGTGGAATACAGAAATATGCTATCTCTCTATGTAAACTGAGGAGTACTAGCTGGATAGACCAAGAACATTTATCATTTATCACACAATACTACGGTACCATTCTACCTTACAATTACAATAGATTTGACCCCTAAATACAGATAACCTTTCAAATTAGTTTCAATTTGGATATGCTATTTACTTATAATCTTATCCCAATTCTTTTTACCTGGTTTTGAAGCTGTAATGCCAGTGCTTTTTGTTCTTCAATCTGGCGCCATCTTTCCCGTGCTCGAGAATCATAAACACTAGTTCTAGAAGTGAAAAGGAATGTGACACAAATGCAGACCACTCTCTTAGTATCAGTCCATTGTTGATGTACAATGAGCATTATATATAAAACCTTCATATACACAGTCTAAAATCCTGACACTAACTTATCACTATAAGTGAAACTACATGGTATTAATCAAATTTTCTGACTTTTTATTGAAATAATGAAAATTAGTTTGTTGCCAAATATGAACAGGTGGCTCTGGTGGATATTTGTAAATCTGTTGTCTTTTTCTAAAAACATGCTTCTAAGCCCAGCCAGTGCTGCTTAATGGTTGACCATCAACATATGAACCAGGAGGTCACAATTCAGGAAGTCACGGCACATGCCTGAGTTGCAGATTTGATCCCCAGAGTGGGTGTGCTGGAGACTTCCAATCAATGAATCTCTCTCATCATTGATATTTCTCTCTCTCTCTCTCCCTCCCTCCCTCCCTCCCTCTCTTCCTCCCTATCCCTTTCTCTCTGAAATCAATAAAAAATATATTAAAGAAATAAACACACATGCTTCTTCTAAGAGTAGAGAGAAAATTAACCTTTATTTTGGAAACCCAAAAATTAGACTGAATCCCAAAGGAGAAAATAATACAAAATGTCATTGAGGTTTTAATTCAAATATTGTATTTATGAACCAAAAGGAAAAATATGGGTTGTGTTTTTTTTCTTTAAAAAAGAAAATCAACACTAGGAGTTTTGGATAACTTAAAGTGGGTTCTTAAAACTGGAAACTAAAAGCTTTTAGTGATTTTGCAAATTCCAGAAATAAAAATTAGTCAATAAATTAGTTTTATCCATGTGAAAATAAGGGCATTATATTCCTTTCTATATAATTGCTAATTTTGAAATATTTTTCCAATTCAAGTTAACTTCAACTATTATAAATTTAATAAACCTAAACACAGAAATGTCCTAACATCAATAGAATTAAAAACCCAAAAAACTTAAAAGTTGTTTTATAAATAACTATAAATATGCAGTTTTTACTGATTAAGTATAGATATTAAGTATAGATAGAAGAAATCAATTAGCCAATCATCCTAACTAAAATTAGGAAGTGATGGAGAAGAAAAAATGATACCAAAAATAACTTACAATTCTTTGATCCACAACTCTGCCTGGAAAAAATTAGGACTATGGATGGGAAAAGAAAAATATTAGCAGGAAGCTTATAAGAAAATTCAAATATTGTTAACAGAAAAACCAATTATTTAAATAACTTACAAGAATTGAATAAATACAAGGACTAAATTACATAAAATTGTAATTGTGAACTAAAGAAATATAAATGAGTCATTTGCATACATTTTTCCATAATAAAATACACTTTACTGATTGCATGATAACTGATTCTTACAGAATGCATTCCCTGATTTCTGTCAAACTTCTGTATCCATAGCAACTTTGTGGTGGCAATTGACAAATGAGTATAGACAGGTCCAACATGCATGGTGGTTGATCGCTTCATTTATGTTAACAGGTAAAATGAAAGTAACAAGGACATGTCGTAACTTCAGCATTTGTCAATAATAATGTGAGCAGTTTCTTTGTTAAATAAGTTTTTAAATAATAGAAGAATTTATCTTCAATCTTTTGTACTATTCACAATGTAATCACTGCAAACATAACACACTTTTAATTGGCATTGTTGACATTTTCTCCATCACTTTCTTAAGGCTAGTCCATCCACAAAGTAGTAAATCAAGCCCTGATTTGTGGTGTGGTAATTTTCTAAGATGTAAATGCTCCCACCATGGCCCACTTCAACCTACCAACATGGCATCAATGAATCTGGAATTGGGAAGATGTGTAATAGCACATAATTCTATAGTATTTCCACCATACAGATATGATACATGCCAATAACCTTAGATGGATAATACTAAAATGAGTAGGAAATGATGACTTTTGAATACTTATTACCTTTGTTTTCAATATAATTTATGTAACTGAAAGTTTATATAATTAAATTTTGAAATAGTAGCTGTGTTTAATAACTAGCTCTCAAATTCCTGAAAATTTAACAATTACCTCTTGTCAGCTAGCTCCACAGCTACTCACGACTGAATAAGGGTGAGTTTTTTGAACTTGCAGATAGGAGATTAGGTTATGTCCCTGCTTTTATGCATTGAGTATCAACAGTTTTATAAAATGCAGCTCTTCTAAGCAAGAACATAGCAGTAACATGCCTGACAAATGTGTCCTGCCCCTCAGCATGAGTGAAGAGGAATTCCCAAACAGATGAGGTCAGATCCAATAGAACAGGTTTCTGTCATGTCTGAGAATCTTTATGACTCATGTTATTGGTCTAGCTCTGGGTTTTGCATCAGTTGATATTCTGACATGGAAAGCTACTTCTCTTGTGCTGCTTATTTCAGCAAAACTGCTTTTGTATTTGGACACTCTTAAAGTCAAGAAACCCTTCTGGAATGTAATTGTCATGTTATTGTTTCTTACTTTTCTATTTTCTTCTACCTTTGTACTATAGTAGTTAAAAAGATGACCCAAGGTTCAGCAGAGAAACTAAATTTAGCATAGCACCTTACTTGGATGAGACCAACATTAAGTGAAAGAGTACCTCACTTGTTAAGATAATACATTAAGCTAGAATATTACACTTCCCAAATGGTTCAGATTGACAAATTTATTAATAATTTAGTCAAATCTTATGGGTTCTTAGACTAGAATGTTAGTCCACTTGAATTAAATGTATTAAGCAACCAACAAACAAAACAGAAATGAACTCATAGATACAGAAAACAAACTGATGGTTGCCAGAAGGGAAAGTGGGGTTAAGGGGATGGGTAAAAGGTGAAAGGATTAAGAAGTACAAATTTGCAATTACAAAACAGGCATGGGGTGTAAAGTACAGCATAGAGAATACAGTCAACAATATTGTAATAACTATGTATGGTGTCAAGGGGGTATTAGACTTGTTGGGGGGTAATCACTTCGTAAGTTATATAAATGTCTAACCACTATGATGTACACCTGAAGCTAATATGATATTGAATGTCAACTATGATTGGGGGGGAAAAGCAGCTTGACAGTTTAAAAAGTATATTTGGAACAACAAATTTATATATATATATATATATATATATATATATATATATATATATATATTCCCCCCCAACCAAATCAAAGTAGATACTGAAATTCCCACCAACAGAAGAAAAATCTATATGAAATAGCTAATGAGTCAATGAATGAACCAAAACAAAGAATCAGCAACACAACTCCATTTCAAAGATGAGAGATCAAATCTATTTGATGTGGCTCTTGCTGATAACCTGAGTGAATAATGCTTAGCAGAGTCGCAGCCATGTTAACTGTATGTCCTAGGTCTTCTTGCTCTTCTCAAACTTCCTCATCTCTTTGCCAAGCACTAACTGAAAAATCTCTCACAGAAACAAATGAAAGAGTGAACTCTTTTCCAAAGAAACTTTTAGATATGTAGAACAAATAAACAAGCTGGGAGTTAAGAAACCTGGAACTCCTGGCACTGCCCCTAATTACATTTTATGATTTTGCGCAAGCCATTTCCATGAGACTTAGTTTTAAGATTTGTAAATTCTGAAGATTAGAGTCCCTTTCAGTTCTTAAATCTCTACAATCTGTCCTAGTTAAGGCAAGAGCATGGGCTCAGAGGATATGCCTTGCTTCTTAGTCTAATTCTTGAGAATTAGTATTTCTAATCATCCTTAGGCTAGAGTTTGGTAATGAAAATGCTATTCTACTGCCTCTCCACCATCACTGAGGTTAATAAAGATAGAACATGAGAGGAGGTGTGCAGTGAACAACTGACATAACCACCAACACAGAAAGCCACAGAGATCTGTGGCAGCAGTGGGGGGCTACTCAGTGTATGATACTAAAAATGTGAGAACACATATATTGCACAATATAAAAAGTTGACAAGAATTACACAGAATTGCACCGTATTGGGTTATGCTATTCAAATTTGTCTACTTCCATATTAAAATATAAACTTGATGTGGACAAAATTTGTCTTTTGAATTTACTACCGTATCTTCTGTACCAAGAACAGTGCCTGGCACACAGCCGGCACTCAGTATTTATTGAATAAATGAATAATGTAAGATAAGCACTTCTCTTCAATGGATCGAGTTTATCTACCGCTTTAGGAAAGCAAAAGTCAGGGGAGGAAATCTCTTTACTTTTCAAAGAGTAAAGTATATGCTGTTCTGCATATAACTGAAGCATACAGTAATATTAACTACAACTATTTACTGAAAATCTACTTAATGCTCTATATGTAAAACTCTGTTCTATTAAGTCTCACAATAATTATTAAGTCTCACAATAATTCTCATCTACTAGTATTAATTAAAGCTCAATAATAGACAATAAGGAATTATTACTCATGATATATAAAAAAGGAAACTGAGGTACAGAAGGATAATTTGTCTTGGAAAAGCCAGGATTAGAAACTATGTCTGTCCAATTTCAAAGACTGTGTTCTTTCTATTATTGTAAATTGCTTTTTAATAAATCAAAGCATTAAACTAGTAAGTACCTGAACTAGTCAAGAGAGCACTGCAGGCTTTCTGGGAAATTCATTTATTTAACAAAGATTTATTTACTAAGGACCCACATCATGTACTATGATTGGCCCTGGGCGATAAATACAAAGGTGTTAGTAACTACCAAGGAACGGAGACAGAAGTGCTCAAGGGAAAGACTTAATGCTCCCTGGAGAAGTCAGAGAAAAAAACACGCCCATCAGATTTTAAAAAGCCAAGTAAGAGTTTAACAAGTGGACAAGGAGAGGAAGGGAATTCCAGACACAGAGGCATAAAATGGCATGGCATATTCTGGGAAATAAGGGCAAATCTTCTTTGCTGATAGGAGATTAAGAATAAAGAGCCAACCAACCGAGCCTGTGAGAGTAACCTCCAATTTCCATGAACAGGACCATCTAATTAGTTTCACCCAGTATATCTTTCTCCTTCCATCTCATTCTTCAGTTATTACTAGGAGAAATCCTTCATAAAGGAAAGGCAGACTTAGTGAAGAATCATTATAGAACTGAAAGCACTCTTTACATAAGATCAACTTTTTCTCAAAGAATTCCTACTTTTGTGTAGTACCTGTGGAAAACTTTTATAAATGCTTTATCTGAAAGTTAATTTTCACAACAATTCAAGAGTAAAGTATTAATACTTGCACCTTATTTTTTTTTAAATATATTTTATTGATTTTGTACAGAGAGGAAGGGAGAGAGATAGAGAGTTAGAAACATCGATGAGAGAGTCATCGATCAGCTGCCACTTGCACACCCACTACTGGGGATTTGCCCGCAACCAAAGTACATGCCCTTGACCGGAATCGAACCCAGGACCCTTCAGTCCCCAAGCCGATGCTCTATCCATTGAGCCAAACCGGTCTCGGCTAATACTTGCACCTTATTGATAAGGAAACTAAAATTCAGAAGAGTAACCTGTCCAAAGTTACATGAAGCCTGGAAAAGACAAGCTCAGAACCCAGGTGTGACTAAAAAAAAAAAAAATCCAAACTGTAAAATCTCCTTGAGAAACCATAACAAATAAATAATTTTTTAAAATATCTAAGTTTAGAACATAGAGGGGAATTGCAAAGAGGCAGGGGAACTGAGATGAGAAAAGGATTTTATTATCCCTAACCTTCTCAATAGAAAACTGATACTATAACCACCCTAGTAATTAAATTGCTAATGCCATATATGGCAAGGACATAGCAATCTAAGTAGTAACCTATTGCAGAGGTCGGCAAACTGTGGCTCTTTGGTCCCTTGAGTATAGCTCTTCCACAAAATACCACATGCAGGCGCACACGTACAGTGCAATTGAAACTTTGTGGCCCATGCGAATATAATAAAGAAATTTCAATCATTGTACTGTTGATATTTGGCTCTATTGACTAATGAGTTTGCCAACCACTGACATATTGGATTACAGGGGGAAAAGTACTCAATATCTCCCTGAGGAGTCAAGTTTCATATAGAAGATCAAATCTGAATTGAGACTTAAGAGAGAAGAAAGCACCACTGCCAGATAGACAAATTGAGGTAGGAAGGTCATAACAGCAGAAAGAATACCAAATATGAAGGTAAGAAAATAGGTATCATATTATAGTTCAGCATTTAATAAACACATGAAAGAGTCCCATATCTCCATATGGCTCCTTCTCTCACCTCCATCATGTATCTTAGCTGTCACCTTGCCAAGACCATCCTAAATAACATCCCCCCTCCCATCAGTGTATATAACTGCCTGCTTTGTTTTTCTTTCATAGCACTTATCATTACCAGACATGTATTTTTATTTATTTGTTCACTATTTGTCCCCCACCTCTCCCCTTATACCATCTACAGTTAGAATGCAAGCTCTATTTTTTTTTCTTATTAAATGCAAATTTTGCCGAAACCAGTTTGGCTCAGTGGATAGAGCATAGGTCTGCAGACTGAAAGGTCCCGGGTTCGATTCCGGTCAAGGGCATGTACCTTGGTTGTGGGCACATCCCCAGTAGGGGGTGTGCAAGAGGCAGCTGATGGATGATTCTCTCTCATCGATGTTTCTAACTCTCTATCCCTCTCTCTTCCTCTCTGTAAAAAAAAAAAAATAATAATAATCAATAAAATATATAAATGCAAATTTTATTAGTATACTTTAAAGCAAATATACTGGGTAAACTATATAATATAATCACCATAATACATCACTTTGAATTAGAATTACAGATATTTCTAACTACTTGAATGTTTGAAGCACTCTGCATCATTTAGAGAAAAAGCAGCCTAAATCAACTTGCTCTGGCATTCCATGATTTGTGCTTGTACGTCTCTAACATAAATTTATACATAGCTATCAAATGGGTACTCTAGCTATGATATAATTTAAAAATTTTATCCGAATTTGCACCACAAAAAGTTTATTGGTTTCTTTATACTAGGAAGTGTCTTATCTGATGGGTCATGCTCAATGTTTGCAGACTGCTTACTAGAGCTGCACTCTCTTTAATTAAATATATATAAGTGTGTAGATTTCACGTTCCCCATCCTAACCCCAGTTCACTCCATCCCTGCTGCATTCCCATAAATACTCTAGATTTGGATGAATCAAATTCTCTAGCAGCTAAAGGGTAAAGAGCAAGGGAAACTGTATCAACTTAAAACAATACCATGAATGTAAACTGCTTGAGAGAAGAGGTTTCATTTTGCTCACTGCTGCTATCCTGTGCCTGTCCAAGCACCTGGCGCACAGTAGGCTATTAATAAGTACTTGTTAAAGGAAAGAATGCGTGATTGAAAGCGGGGTTTATGAAAAAAGTGCTTTGATTACCACACTAAAAAGTTTGAGCTTGCTTCTCTATTTGACACACCACCCTTGAGGTAGTTTAGTGAATGACCAGCTATGCCTTTCAGATCACTTTGGTTGAAGAATGAAGGCCTAGAAGACATAGTAGAAGATGGAATGAAGAACAAAATGGAAGCTGAGGAAAGGAAGACTACTTAGAAAGTCATTGAAATAATTCAAACAATACATGCCAGAGGTCTGAATAGAGTCAATTTTAGTTTTATATTATGTAACTCATAGTAAAGTAACTAATTAAAGGGGGGATTATGTTAATGTCCTTTTCCCAAAGTTTACCTGGGAGCTGGAGTCTGGGGATCTTGCACTTTGAGTAAAATCACAGAGTCTGATCCTAAACAAGAAACACAAGAGCATATCATTATTGATAAACTGCAGTTATACATTCTAGATGTCTATGGCTTAAGTTCCCATACTCAGTTACAATCTATTTTCATAAAAATAAAAATGGGGGTGGGGGGAGAGGCAGTTCCATTTTCAGAGCCAAGAATAGGGTTTAGTGAAGAGCTTGCCCCACAAATAAAGTAGTTATTCTGAAATACAAGTATATATGGCTTCAGCCTCTACTCCTGGGCTTTGCCTGTTTCTTGAGATTCCTCTTTCTATTCCTGGGAAACAAGAACATGCCAAGATATCTCAAAAGTCTTTAGCTCATGAACTACCATGAGGCTGAACAAAGTGCAAGAGCAAAGGGGGAAAACAGGTAAAGGGGAGGAAATGCAAAAAAAAAAAAAGCTATAGAAGTAATTGAGTCAAAAAATACAAACTATCATTCTATCACTTATTTTCTGTGTTGATAAAAGCAAGAATCGTGTCCTTCTAAAGCACTATGATTAAAACCTTATTTATAATATTTATTAAATAGTACAAGGAAAGTAATTGAACAGTTCAATGTAATACATCTGTCCCAGTTTAGTTTTACCTAAGCTCCTGCCCATACAATGTATGCTTCTGAGGTTAAAGGCTTTTTAAAAGAATGATAGTTCTTGGTAAATCACCTCAAAAAATTTAAGTTTAGATGAATATATGTAGATATGTAATGATGCCACCAACAATTTTAAACCCCCAGTGAGAATTGTAAGTAAGTGAGGAATAGATTAAAAAGAAAAAAAAACAAAATCAAATGACCTGAGGAAGGATAGTCTTCGAGATGGGTCTATCAAAAGATCCCTAATGTCTAACCATTTAACCTAAAATTTATTTTGTAAGTTACATAGTACCTAAATACATACCTTAAATAACTACTAGTATATGACGTACCTAAAGAAGGGGAAACTAAGCAAAGAGAAAAATTGTCATAGCAAAACCTTACTTAACTAGAATGCTAAGGGACAGAATATTTTTATTAGCTAAAAGTTAATAAAAAAAAAAACAGAAAACTCTTTTTGTTTCCAAAACTGAGGACCATTCTAAAATGTATAAACCTATTATCCAGGTTGTATATTAGCTGATTAAGCACTTTTACTTCAATACTTAATTGATTTACTAAAACTACTAGAACATCGGAATACAGATGACACTTCAACAACATGGGTTTGAACCGTGTAGGTCCACTTATATGTGGATTTTTTTTTCAATCAATACTGTAAATATATTTTCTTTTCCTTATGATTTTCTTAATATTTTTTCTCTAGCTTACTTTATTGTAAGAATACAGTATATAATACATATAACATGCAAAGTATGTGTTAATCGACTGTTCACATTATCTGTAAAGCTTCTGGTCAACAATAGTCTGTTAGCAATTAAATTTGGGGGGAGTTAAAAGTCATATATATAGCCGAAACCGGTTTGGCTCAGTAGATAGAGCATCAGCCTGAGGACTGAAAGGTCCCGGGTTCGATTCCGGTCAAGGGCATATATCTTGGTTGAGAGCACATCCCCAGTGGAGGGTGTGCAAGAGACAGCTGATCGATGTTTCTAACTCTCTCTCTCCCTTCCTCTCTGTAAAAAATCAATAAAATATATTAATTATAAAAAAAAAAGTCATATACATGGATTTTTGAGCACATGGGGTAAGGGTGGTCAGCACCCCTAACCCCCATGCTGTTTAAATTATTATAAAATACGAGAAACAGAAAGTACTGAAGTCTTTGGGCTTAATTAACTTTGACTCCAGACGCTGTTTCAGAAGTTAATCTTTTACATACTATATAAAATCATTTGCATTTCCATATAAGAAAAAAAGTTCCTTATAGGTTTACCTGTAGCATGGCTAAGTGAATTATTAAGTTACATGTGCATTACAACCTTGCATTATAATTCACATAGAGCCAATAAATTGGCTATTAGGAAGTATAATTAAATTATATTGAAAATATGATGTATAATACCATTTTTACCTTTGGATTGTGTTTCTGAAGCTGACAAGTTATCTGGCTGATGTGGAAGAGAGTGGTGATGTTGGAGTTGATGGAGTAGATCATCTTTGGATCTGGATGAAATATCTGGCGTATAAGACGATAAAGGATATCCACTATGAGAAGGCTGTTCGTGGGTAGTTAAAATGCTGGCAGATCCAGAAGATGAAGTATCAGAGCCAATAATCTGAGCTGCACAAGAGTTTCCATTTTGAAACAGTGTGTCTTGTAAGGTATTCCTACTGGAATTAAGACATCGAGATCTAGCAAGAAAAGAATATATTTCAATATCATATAATGCACGTGAAATTAATTTCATTTAAAATATGTTTCGTGACTCACAGGTGTAAAGGAAAATGTGTGGTGGGTTTGGCTACAGAAAACTGTTTCCCTGTGACCATCTGTAGCAGCTGTCTGTAAATCTCTCTTTCTTCTTCTTGAACTGTCTGTAAAAGAAAAAAAAAACAAACTTAAACACATCCAATAGGGAAGTGTTTCTCAAAGTAGCATCTAGATTCCCAGAAGCCCTGCCAAAGCTCAGACAGGGTCCTCAAGGTAATTAAGAATTATGGTAGACTAAGGATATTCTAGACATGATATAATATATATGAGAGAAGTTTAGTGAAATAAATACCAGATAGTATAGTTCAGAGAATTATGGGCATATCTGTATATATAAAAGGCTAATCAGCAAAGTGTTTCCTTGGGAGTTCGACCAGGAGACCGGGAGTTTGATTGCTCGCTATGATGTGTGCTGACCACCAGGGGGTGGCACAGAATATGGCGGACGACCAGTGGCAGCAGTGGGGTGCTGAGAGAGCGAGGGAAAGAGGAGATGGGAAGGCAGGGAGGTGGCAAATGGGGGAAGCCACGTGCTGGTGGCTGGTGGTGCATGGGTGGCAAGGAAAGGAGAAGGCGGGAGGCAGGGCAAGGGAGAACCTGATTGGCCCTGATCACCAGCCAGGACTAGGGACTCTACCCATGCTTGAATTTCATACACTGGGCCTCTAATATGTAAATAATAGTGCAAAGAAGCTATAGGATATGAAACCAGAAGGCCAAAAGACAACTATTTCTGAGTCAATTGATAGAGTCACAGAAATAAAACATTTGAGGATCTCTCAATTAAGATTCTAACAAAACCCTTGGTTCTTGAAACCTGCTAGGATAATCACAAGGAAGTAATCAGAACAGTCAAGATCTGAGTGCAGTATCTTTCTAACCATTTTCTATTCCATTAAATTTTTAAGAATGTTTTTTTCCAGAGATGGTTTTCATCTCCAACATATATTTATTTTTCTTAACTCCCAAAACTTAGAGGAAAGCACATGCTCCATAAGATTCAGTCATTTATTTATTGACTTAAATACCAACTCTGCTCCAGTCAATAGTTACTGCACTGAAAAAGATAAAGTTCCTGCTCTTATGGCGTTTACCACACAGTTCAAGACTGAAAAACAAAACATTAATCAGTATGAACAAAATTAAAGATAAGAAAATAATAGAACGTGACGGAGGGGCAACACGGGGAACAGATAAGATTGCTCTTAAACTGTGATATTTCAACAAAAACCTAGATCAAGGAAGTCAAAGAAATTTATAAGAGTATTCCATACAAAGGAATAGCAAATTCAAAAGTTCTGAGACAGGAATGTGCTTTGATGTATTCAAGGAAGAGCAAGGTCACTGTGAATCAGAAGAATAGTAAGAAATGAGGTCACTTAGCCTTGGCTGATTTGGATAGAGCGCCAGCCAGCCCATGGACTAAAGGGTTGTGGGTTTGATTCCGGTCAAAAGGAGGTACCTTGCTTGCAGGCTTGGTCCCCAACCCCAGTGGGGTGTGTGTAGGAGGCAACCAAAAGATGTCTCTATCTCACATCAATGTTTCTCTCTTTCTGTCTTTCCACTCTCTCTAAATATCAATGGAAAAATATCCTTGGGTGAGGATTAACAACAAAATAAATAATAATAAAAAAATTTTTAAAGAAAAGAGGTCACTTAGCAGAAAAACAGATTATATAAGGACTTGTAATCATGGTAAAGCACCTATTCTATACAGATCCCCTAAAGCAATAAGCTGCATTCACTAAATAACATATATATCGTGTTTTTCTTCCTTTAAATCTTATATACAATTTAATACAAACACCAATCTTCATAAAATTAATTATAATACTTTGTGCCAGGCCTAGCAGCATCTTTCACTGTGCCATTTCAATATGCACATAAGCATTTTATTCAGCTACAGTGTTTGTTAAAGGCGGAATGAACTAAGCAATGATCTATACAAAGGTAAAAAGAGACTAAATTTTTTCTTCTTGATTTTTTTTGCTACAAATTTGAAATTTGTCACTCCTTCTACCACCACTCTGAACATCTCTCTCTCTGGAATGATTTAAGAACTTTCTGTTTTTTCTGTTTCTAACACTCTTGCCCTTTATGGTAGAATAGCTAGTGGTTCTTTTATCTTTTTTTTTTTTTTTTAATATATTTTTATTGGTTTCAAAGAGAAAGGGAGAAGAGATAGAAACATCAATGATGAGAATCATTGATTGGCTGCCTCCTGTATGCCCTCTACTGGGGCGAACCAGCAACCCAGGCATGTGCTCTTGACTGGAATCAAACCCGGAACCCTTCAGTCCTCAGGCCAAAGCTCTATCCACTGAGCCAAACTGGCTAGAGCATTAAGTCCTTTTTGTAACTGTTACTCAGCTCTTATCACATACTCTTGCCAGTTTGTCTATCCTTTCCTACTATGATTTACTAATCCTGACACCCTCTGTTTGAATATTTTAGAATCCAAACTTCAAATTAAAAAAAAATTTATAGCATTTTTACTAAGTCACAAATAATCAAGTCTTGCTACCTAAAAAATCTTCATTACCAATTTATAAATACTAGTAACCCGGTGCATGAAATTCATGCACGGGGTGGGGGTGTCCCTCAGCATGGCTTGCACCCTCTCCAATCTAGAACATCCCTCTCGCAATCCAGGACAGCTGGCTCCTAACCTGCTCACCTATCTGCCTGTCTGATCACTCCTAAACACTCTGCCTGCTGGCCTACTTGCCCCCTACTACTCCCCACCCCCCCCAGCCTTCTCACCCTCCTCAACTGCCCCCCTACCCGCCAGTCTGCTTGCCCGCCAACTGCCCCTCCCCCTGCCGGCCTGCTCGCCCCAAACTGCCCAGCCTGATTGCCCCTAACCACCTCTGCCTCAGTCCCACCACCATGGCTTTGTCTGAAAGGACATCCAGAAGGTCTCCCGATCTAATTAGCATTTACCCTTTTATTAAGATAAGATTCTTGACTCCACAATATATGTAAACTGCAATGGGCAGGACCACTTCACCAGGTTGTATAACAAAAAAGCTCACTAGACTAGACTCCTTCAGAAGTTCGAAGTTGCAGGCTGGCTAATTACTAGTTGTATGACCTCGATTTTTACTTTTCCAATCTGTAAAATGTGGATATTACCTCATTTCTACCTGTATCACAGGGTTAAACAGATTTAAAACAATAATGCATGTAGAAAGCACACTGGAAACTCTAATGCTATATAAATATAAGGTCATTATTACTCATTTGTATCTCCACAGCAAACATTACAAAGCTGATGAGATGCATAAAAAATATTTAACTGAACAGGTATAAGCACATTTCCTATAGTATAAATTATTTGCTATATTATATTTACAGAATGTTTTCCCTTTAGGTTTATTGAATAAACATAATAACCCAATGTCAAGGGAACATCTTTCTTTTTTGGAAAATCTATAATCTCAAAGATCTTACTCATAATGAAAGGATAGAAATTATTTAGCTGGCTTCTTGATTTTTCTTTCATATTGAGAAAAAATTGTCCTAGTAGGTAAGGGTGGGTATTTAATCAAATCCAGCAAAATTAACAGTTTTCCCATATGAAACAAGTTTCCAAAGAGTCCAAAAAAGAATGAAGAGAGATAATTTGATGTATGAGAAGTATTCAGACAATAATGAAAATTAAGTCTACTGTCCAACAGGAATAAAAGATGGTAAGAAAAAATAATAAAGTCCTACACTAAAATATCTCTTCAATTTCTTTAGAACAGATAACAGCACTCAAAAAGAGTAGGAAAGAAAAACCATAGAAAAGATTAAGTAAATGGAATGGTTAATAAACATCTAAATCGGAGGGGAGAAATGGCTGAATGTAGGAAAAGATTCTAACCATAGCTCTTGTCGCAGGTTTTCCTTACCTCTTCTGCTGTGCTAACATGTCGCCTCTGAGTTTTCTTGGGGCTCAAAAGGTTTCGACGACATGAACCACTCCAAGATGGACTTGGAACAGATTTAATAGGAAAAGATTTTTCATATGCAGACATATGGCAGTGATGGTTTGACTTTCCTGTAAAACTGTTTGATAATCCACTGAAAAAAAAAAACACACACACACACACACAAAAAAAAAATGTAAGAAAACCTAACCCAGTGATTATTTCACTTTCAAGAAATAACAACAAAAATTAGCAGGTAGAATAACAGATGTACCACTTAAGGCAAATATATAAGAAATGACATATGAGTTGCTGCATCAAGTTCTGCCACCTAAGAGGTCTTAGATTGCCAAACTATATAATTATCAAACACCTAAAATTATATGTCTCAGCTTCGGGATCTATATGTTCCTTTAGTCAGGAACTACATACTTGTATGGTACAACAGAAAGCATATCATATTACATCTCTTCAGAAAATCTGAGTTCTAGGTACATTAACAAACACAATACACTTCCTTTTTACTCCTCACAGCCCCCTGCCCCAAGACCTTTGGAGGGAATTATTTTAAGATTAAGTTTGCAGAGATGGATAAAACCAAAACCTCTCAGCAAAGCTTTTAAACTGAATTCTACCATTTCCTAAAACACCAACAGAGGGCTCCCATCCTTCATTAAAAACAGCCAGAGGCTTTTATTAGGCTGTACCACTCTGTGAACTCTCCTCTGGCCTCACTGTTTACCTCCTCTGAAGGAAATTTCGTTTTTGCTTCTCTATATTATTTGCACCCCAAATAATGTGAAAAATTGGCAGGAAAAATAGTTTTGTAAACTCAAACCCAGTCTTATCTCTAAGGACAAGTAAATAATTTTAAATTTTTTAAAATGTGCTCTTTCTCATTTATTATTACCAAATAAGTCTTGGGTATTTGCTATCAATATAATGAATTTTTCCCCCCCGAGGATGCAAAATAGAGTTACAGAACTCACTAAACTGAATTCAATAAAATCAACTCTTTAAATCAGTATATGTGGTCGAGGCCCAAATGAATCAGACTAGGTCTAAAGAAAATAAAAAAACACATATACTCTAACTCTTCAAACTCTAATGATTTCTGTGTGTGTTAGAGTGGAGAAAGGAGCAAGGACTCAGAATTTCAGGAACTGGCTTATTTTCTTAGGATGGGTGGATACAGCTAGAAAAGATGGCAAGGGTGATATAATTTGGTGACGATATAATGAATTCCCCTCAATGTCTTCTGTATTTATGCTTCCTAGAGAGTATATTATATCTGTTTTTAATAAAATAGTTTTTTCTAAAGAAACAGTAGAAGGGCATCTTCAAATGCCAGACAGCAAGTGTACTACCAACAATTAACAATGTTGGGTCAGGCACAGAAATAAGTGTGGACTCCCATTGGCTAAAGTTGAGCATCAAAAATGATTATAGTGGATTAAAACACACTAAAGCCATAGAGACATTAAAAACAAATAAATAAAAGAACAAAAAAAATACATTTAAACCACTTGAAGTGGCTATTAAAATAAACTTCCTTTGGCCTATCCGGGTTTCCTCAGTGGTTAGAGCGTCAGCCCTTGGACTTGGGGGTCCCGAGTTCAATTCCAGTCGAGGGCACGTACCTCAGCTGCAGGCTTGACCCTGGCCCTGGCTGGATGCATGCAGGAGGCAACCAACCCATGTTTCTCTCTCTCTCTCTCTCTCTCTCTCTCTCTCTCTCTCTCTCTCTCTCTCTCTCTCTTTCTCTCTCTCTCTCTCTCTCCCTCCCTCCTACTCTGTCTGAAACCCAATGGAGCCGGCCAGCGTAGTTGATCATTAAGCTTACAGTTCAATTCCTGATCAGGGTACATGCCCAGATTTTGGCCCAATCTCCATTCTCTCTCATCACTGATGTTTCTATCTCTCTCCCTCCCTTCCTCTCTGAAATCAATAAAAATAAATAAACTTATTTTGAAAATAGGTAATAAAAAAGACCTAATCATATATCCTGCCTTCCCAGTAGGAAATGTATTCCAAGGTCACCAAAATAGTCCCAACTAATGAGGAAAAAGAGCTCTCCTTCAGCAGAGTGTCAATTAATAAGGGTAGGAAAAAATAATAAAATTAAAAAAATATTATTTCATTAACTCTACTAAAATTATTATAAGTTCAGAGGAGGCCCAAAGGTACAACTTCCTGTACTAGATAGAGGACAAAATGATGATGTTATGACCAAGAAATCTATAAAATCCAAACAAACTTCCTATTATAAAATGTCATAGGAATGTAATATACAGCATGGTGAATATATAATAGTTAACAATACTGTATTGCATATTTGACAGTTGCTAAGATTAGATCTTAAATGTTCTCCCACAAGAAAAAGAAATTTCAGCCGAAACCGGTTTCGTTCAGTGGTAGAGCGTCGGTCTGCGGACTGAAAGGTCTCAGGTTCAATTCCGGTGAGGGGCATGTACGTTGGTTGCAGGCACATCACCGGTAGAGGGTGTGCAAGAGGCAGCTGGTCGATGTTTCTCTCTCAACATTTCTAGCTCTCTATCTTTCTCCCTTCCTCTCTGTAAAAAAATCAATAAAATATATATATATATATTTTTTTAAAGAAAAAAAAGAAAAAGAAATTTCTTTTTCTTTGTATGGTGATTAATGTCATGTATGGTGATTAATGTCAATCAGACTTATTGTGGTGACCACTGCACTATCAAATCATTATGTTGTATACTTGAAACTAATATGCTATGTCATCATACCTCAATTTAAAAAAAAATTGCTACCAGTTAAGAGTTATCAATTGAGATTAATAACTATTAGAGTGATACGAAACTGGTCATTCATATAATGCCAAAGTAACATCATTTAGATTATGTTCTAGTCACAAGGACAGAAACCTAACTGTATAAATAAGGACAAGACTATTCTCTCTCTAATCCAGAGATCAATCCATTATCACCAATGACAGGAGAACCAGATAGAGCAGGTTTCCTAAATGTGGAATAAGACAGCATCATCTTTTACTCAAGTAAAAAATTTAGTTCAGAAAAAATACAGAGAATAGAGGACAAAATAATGACATTATGACAAAGAAACCTGTAAAATCCAAAAAGTGAGAAATTACCCAGGAAAAAAGTCATGTCATTAATAAAAGGGGCTGTTCTAGATTGTAAGAGACTAAAGGGTAATAACTACCAGATATAATCCTAGATTGGATACTGGTTTGAACAAAATTAGCTGTAAAGGATAGTTTGGGTCAACTAGAAAAACTTAAATATAATTTAGTTAAGTATAAGATAAAATTTATTGAGAGGTAAAAAGGAGATGATTGAAAAAACAGATTAACAAAAGAATATGCACAGTATAAACTCATTTTTCGGGGGGGGGGGGAGTGTGTGTAAATGCAGAGAAAAAAGCTGGAAGGATATATACTAAGATATTACAAAAGTGATCTCTGACTGGTGGGAATGTGAGGTTTCTATTTTTTATTTTTGCTTATCTGCATTTTCCAATTTTTTACAAAGCACATGTACTGTTTTTGCAATAATGTCACTTTAATGAAGACAAAATGATATTATACATTTCATCATAGTATACATAGCATATATATTATGCTATATATGAGTAAGAGATAGTGTAAGAAGAGAAAACATAGGAAAAGATTTGGAAGGAAATACAGTAAGGGAAGGAGAATGAGACTGTGGGTAGTGGTCATGGATCTTTAGTTTTATGAGTAATGCTTTAATTTTGTGAATGTATTCATGAATTCAGGTATAATTGTTTAAAATATTAAGAAGTGGGAAGATGATTCTGGGAGTACTGACACATGTTTCCAGAATCCATGAGCTAATAATCATAAAATAAAATAAAATAAAAGCCATCTTATTGGTTTCAATCAACACCAAAAAGCTTAGCCTTGACTAAGCAGGAAATTAAATGATATAATATACCTAAAACCCATCACCGCTATAAAATTTAAGAAGTCATAAATACTATTTTAAAGAAGCAATATTTTACTAATATAATAAAGCACCTGATGGAAAAGTTTCTAAGCCAAACTTCATCTGCCTTTAATAATCAATATAAACTTGGTGAGAGAATAGGTAGAGCTTATGAAGTTGAGCTAAATAGTAAATAGGAACAAGTACTTTGTGACTATTTTCAACAGAAATAGCTTATGACTAGAGGACTAAGGCCATGAGGTACAAAGCTGCCTGGGTGTAAGTAGTCTCTGTTATGTGAGAGCCCACATGTGGTAGTTTCTTTGCTACTAAAGTTGTAGATACTGGTTTTCACTCTGAGGTTCATAATAGCTATATAGATCCTCAAGGGTCCTAATATACTCATATTTATCAAGATTTCCCTCAAAACTCTCCTCTAGCCTGGCCAGTGTAGCAGAGTGGTTAAACGTTGACCCACGCACCAAGAGGTCACCAGATGATTCCCAGTCAGAGCTCAGGGTTGCAGGCTCAATCCCCACTAGGGGTGTGCAGGAGGCAGCCAATTGATGTTGATGTCCTCATCAATGTTTCTATCTCTCTCCCTTCCATTCTCTAAATCAATAAAAATATATCTAAAAGTTCTCTCCTTTAATAAAATTTGGCTGTCACCAAAATCCAGCACCAAGTAAATTAAATGTTGAAAGCTAAAATGGACTTGTCCATATATCTATGGTTTAAAGTTCAAAAATGGTGTTAATCATTTAAAATACCAATATAACAACTACCCTTATAGCCATTTTCTCTTATATTGCAGAGAGGGCTTATGAATTAAGCAGCCAGAGTACCTACCTTGAGGTCTTTCGGGTTTCGAGGTAAAGACTTCGGCTGTTTCTTGATTTTTGTGAAGCTGCACCTGATGCTGGGGTAGAATTTCTCCACTGGCCATTTGCACTCTGGCCAAAGGTTCTTACGTCTCCTGAGCCAAGAAAACTGTCTGAGGAAGGTTTATCTAAAGGAATAAAAATTTGAATAAATTAAATACCTACTGTGATTTTCCACTTGACTGCAACCATGTCCAACATTGAATTCTAAAGCAATGTGGCATTTTACCATGTCTCTCATGGAAGATCCCACTCTCAACTGCCAGTAAAGTCTGCAGTAAGGGAACTTCTACAAACTATAATTGATTCAGCCATACTAACCTGAAAATTGTTGAAGGAGCTGAATCCTGCCACAGCCATGTGCCTTATCTGCATCAATGTGACTCCGTGGTGTCCACCAAAAGTCAACATTTTACCCCAACTATATCTTGCAAGCACTCCCAGGCCTGGGCCTGAAAGAAGGTAGGCCAGACCAGTAAGAAAGCAGGTGGAGGGCCGAGAATTGTAATTCAAATGAACAACAGTTATTGCTTAATAAGCAGCTGGTATCTCCTGTTTGTAATTACCATGTTCACAACTCAGAGGCTCTCTCTAAGAGCAGAGATAACTTAATTGCTGCTTATTCTGGTCATTTTATGGCAAGAATGATCCATCATGTTCATCTGGTTCTGATATGGTATCTCAGTCATTTAATGCCATAATCAACAGACATATCAATACTCCAATGCTTTCTGCTACAATCAGGCTGAGAATTATTTGTTTGGTTTATTTTTAATTTTCTGACTTGTGGCTTACAAGCAAGGATAAATTTTTTTTCAGTTGATCAGGATTATCAGAATTCAGGATAAGATACAAAAAAGCAGCAGTCAGTGTGATTCACTAGTGGATAAACCTAATCTAATAATTAAATTTACTTTCAAAATGAATGTCCAAAAAAATATATACATACACTTTGAAGAATTATAAAGGTACTGTTTACTAAAATACATTTCTTTTTCAAAATTCAACTTAAAGTGTATATACATTTTTTTTGACACCCTGTATTTCCAAGTTTTAGCTAAGAACAGAATAATTTCTATACCTTCCTCTCCTAATCACCAAGACTGGACAATTACATGCCTTCAAAATAATTTCAGATGTTAGGCTATGGAACCCTGAGGAGTATGAGTGGAAAAACAAAAATGATAATTCTCTGCTTCCTAAAATTTTTGATCTGTCAATATCACATTGAAAGTCCTCTTTCAAAGCATATTATTATCGAACTTTTAACATTACACATTTATATCATTTAAAATATTTAATGTAGCCTTTGATACTCTCTCCAAAAAGTATGGCAGCTGACAAAAATATAAGTTTTGTATTGTATTGTGTGTATTTTTTACAGTTGATCAGGATTATCAGGATTTAGGGTAAATAAGATATAAAAAAAAGCAGTCAGGGTGAGTGATATTAGTACCAGTTCATTCACCAGTGGATAAACCTAATCTAATAATTAAATTTACTTTCAAAATGAATTATAACTTTTCTCCTTTGTAATCATTACTTATGCTTAGCATCTATTACCATTACTTTCAAGATAGAGACATGAGGCTAATGAAAATGAGTCTCATTAAAGGACAAGAAAATTATCTTCAAATTAAATGCTAAGTAGTAACAATAGACATTTCTGTCTCTCATACTTTTTTGCTAAAATTTGATTAGGGAATGATCTCACTAAAGATGTCTATCAAAAAATGAAAATTATCCTGAACAGGTGTGAAATTTGAAAATAAGGGATAACCAAAACTGGTTTGGCTCGGTGAATAGAGCATCGATCTGTGGACTGAAGGCTCCTGTGTTCAATTCCGGTCAAGGGCATGTACCTTGGTTGCAGGCACTTCCCAAGTAGAGGGTGTGCAGGAAGCAGCTAATCGATGTTTCTCTCTCATCGATGTTTCTAACTCTCTACCCCTCTCTTCCTCTCTGTAGAAAATCAATAAAATATTTCTTTAAATTTTTTAAAAGAGATTAAGGGATAAACTAGAGTAGCCTTCTCAAGGGTATGTGAGAGTCTTCAGCTTTAAAATACAAGAGGAATACAGTCTGTTTAACCAGAATTAGGTGGTTCCATCTTTACTCAATGAAATCATTTAACAGTCCTCTATTGCTGACATGACCAAACAAAGATACAGAAGGACCAACGGTATTGCAGACACTCATTTTTTGGTGATGATTTAACCTGGTTTTCTGTCATCATTAAGAAATGAGGCTGCTTATGCCACAAATAAGATTACTTATCACATGTATATAAACACATAAAACTATAAGAAAATATAACCAAATTTTAATTTTGGTTGTATTCTAATAAAATGATGGGTATTTTCCTACTTTTCTCTATGAATTCTGTATAAGAACAGGCAACATTTTTATGGGTATCTTAAAAAAGTGTATCAGCCAATCTATGAAAGTAACCAACAGTTAAGTAGTGCCAGCTTTCCTTGGGACTTATTTATCAATAGCAGGATGCTTTAAATCATTTCATCTACTAAATGCCAGTTTGGCAACCTAATTTAACAAATTTCCTAAACAGACAACATTGATAGATTCTAAGCATGAGCAAAATCATTTCACCTTACTCTTTTTTGTTTAGGGTTTAAAATGTTTTAATTTTCTATTCAATTGTACTCTTTTTTAAAAAAAATGTATTTTATTGATTTTACACAGAGAAGAATTGAGAGGGATAGAGAGTTAGAAATGTCGATGAGAGAGAAACATCGACCAGCTGCCTCTTGCACACCCCCCACTGGGGATGTGCCTGCAACCAAGGTACGTGCCCTTGACCGGAATCGAACCTGGGACCTTTCAGTCCACAGACCGACGCTCTACCGCAGAGCCAAACCGGTTTTGGCTCAATTGTACTCTTAATCAAGATGTCCTGAAGTCTGACTAGCACTAAGTTATTAAAATGAAAGTGCTTTTTTTCTGTTTTTCAAAAAAAAAATCTTTTTTAAGTATATTTTATTGATATTTTACAGAGAGGAAGGAAGAGAGAGAGAGAGAGAGCTAGAAATGTCGATGTGAGAGAAATATCGACCAGCTGCCTCCTGCACACCCCCCACCGGGGATGTGCCCGCAACCAATGTACATGCCCTTGACCGGAATTGAACCTGGGACCTTTCAGTCCGCAGACCGACGCTCTACCACTGAGCCAAACTGGTTTCGGCTCAAAAAAAATTTTTTTAATCAATGTTTTTAATAGTCAAATCTTAAATGGATTAAGAAGTAGATTTTTTAAAGCTTGATATGCCTCTCTGTCACATGCCACTGAGAAGGCTACTCATATATCAAAAGTCAGATCCAATAAAGCAATAAACAGAAAGCTCCAGACCTACATTCTCAAGTTTGGGATTTTCCTGTGTTTATTTTCATTTTGGTGGAGGAAAGGATAGCAAGGTGACAAATACCAATACAGTCAGAATGAGAAAACTAAGGCAAGTAAACTTAGGACCCATGTCTAGCCCAATGAAGAGGTAAAACTTAAAGTGACTGACTTTAAGTTTTACCTCTTCATTGTGGAAATTATCAGAAATAATATATCCAAAGGAGATAGCAGAGACAAAATTCTGTAGAACATGCAATGAACTGGAATGGGTATGGCAAAGAAAGTTTTAAAAAGTACACAATAGAAAGTAGATTTAAATAAAGACTTTATTATAATAAAAAGGTATAGAGATCCTTGATATTCAAGATTTAAAATTCTGATTGTTAGACAGTGACCTTAGAGGTCTTGTAGATAAGGATAAATACAGAAAAAATGGAACTCTCAAAAATCATGTAACTGAGATAAAAGCCAGGAATTTGGCCAAGTATCATTATAGTCAGGAACATAATGATTTGAGATGAGTTAAGGACGAGGTTAATTATAGGAGATTATGAATATAATTTTCTCTATAAAACTGTTTATTGAGCAATTATTTTTAACTAAAAGCAAATATCCTGTCCAGTGGTAAATCAGCATGTGAAATTACAAGGAAATACAAACTGAATTCAAATATTAATGATCTGATTTTATTATCCACTCAACTACCCTTCCCCTAGGATTAATAATGAGCTATCAAACCAGCTTTCAGGTTCTTTGCTCATCAGGAAGGATTTTCCAATAATAATGATGACTGCCCTGGCTGATTTGGCTCAGTGTTAGAGCATCTGCCCATGGACTAACGGGTGGCAGGTTTAATTCTGGTCAATGGCAGGTACCTTGGTTGCAGACTCCATCCCTGACCCCAGTCAGGGCTCGCACAGTAGGCAGCCAGTTGATGTGTCTTTCTCACATCAATGTTTCTCTCTGTCTCTCCCTCTCCCTTAAACTCTCTCTAAAAATCAATGAAAAATATCCTTAGGTGAGGATTAACAAAAGAACAATAAGAAGAATCATGACAACTGATTTCCTATACTACAAATTATGCACATACTATGTGAAGACCATTTCCCATCCCAGAAGAGAAATCCAGTGCCCAGGATAAATTACCACCACCTAAGTGACATTTAAATATAATATAAATCTAAAAAAGCATCATACTAACGTCTTTTTAGGGGAGGAGATCTCATCTTGCTGACAAAGAATCCTGAGGAAGCCAAATAACAACAATAATTATTACTTGCATTTCATACTTATTATCTGTTTATCCTTATAAAAATCTCACTGAGGCAGATTAAGTGGTATTACTAATATTCCCATATTTGTGATAACATGGGGAGATTGCAGAGAGTGAAAAGACATAGGAAAACATTAATATCTTCCTGGGTTATACTGCCAGGAGGCTAACGAACAAAAATTCTTCGTTTCCCCAAGACAGAACCAGAAGATCTTTAGAAGTCCAAATCTTAGGAAGGGGTGATGTAAAGTCAGGCAGACCAGGGGCTAGAATAGCTTAGAGAATGCTGACTTCTGTCATGGATCACAAGCCCTTAAATATGCAAGCATGGCTGTGGCAGGTGCTAGATAGAGACATGTAGTTAATATTTCCTGCCCTGATGGAGGGATACACTTGGGCAGAAGTATAATTTCAGAATTCATGGTTTCAAGTAGAATTGAAATAGGCTAACTTTGAGCTTTAAATCAATAAAACAAATAACTTTTACATCACATAGACATATCTAAAAAAACACACAAAACTATAGTGATTTTTACAATGATATAATGAACAAGTAGGAGAATGGATTTCAAAACAACTTTTTCATTAAAAAATATTTAATTGAGACTAGATCAGTAAAGTATTATAGCAACAACATACACATACACAGATACACAGCTTACTGAAATGTTGTGTTAGTGGAGAAAATACTATTTTGCTTTTGACAGACAATGCTTGCACTTTTACAGATGGTAAACACAAATGATACACTAGGAAGAAATCTGAAAGATATGAAGGTCTTGTCTCCAAGCTATGTATCATACCTGAATAATAATTTGAACTATAAGCTGCACTTCTTGTAGAACATGTATAAGATCCGTCCAAATTTCCTTGCCGGGAAGATAATATCTAAACAAAGCAGAAGATTTTTCTGAAATCATATTCTGACAATAAAATGTAGTAAGAATTTATATTTGAAAAAAATGTATCATTAAACAAGATTATGACCTGTTTCAGAATTCAATAGAGGGTGGGGCAAAATTAGGTTTACAGTTGTGAGCACATGAAACAGTTTATTTTTGTATTATTATTTATTATTTTGTTATTTTCCATATACCTACTTTTGCCCATCCCTGTGTAACTAATTATACTTATATATATTATAAATTAAACAACATACTACGAAGTAAGAATGTCAGAATGAACAGACAATCTGATTTTTAAAAAAAGGCTTCAGGGGGGGAAAATAGGCAAAATATATGTTATACAACTTAATTCAAAAAATGCAGTTGAGATATGGTTAGCTGAAGCAGAATCTACCTTGTTTGTCCCGTGTAAGTTTCTATTATTTCCTGCCTAAGGGCTACATGTAAATTTCTATTTATGTTGCCTAAGATGTTTTCCCCAAAGCCTCAATAAAAGGGGATGGCAGGGCCAGAGCAGGGAGTAGTTCTCTCACTAGGCTTGGACTACCACCGGGCCCCCATATAACAAAACAAAAACAAAAAAACAAAACAAAAAAAATGCTCATGAGAAGTTAACTATGCATTTAGTATTTCCTGTTCTGAAAACCAGTGTATCATATATCAAAAAGGCAAACAAAACCAATCTGACTTTGGATTTTTTTGAAAACTTAACAATTTTTAATCAGGGGTGGTGCTGCACACCAGTATAAATCTGGAAATGCATGAATACATATTCAGTTATTAAAATAATTATTGGGGGCAGATGCTACAGGTATTTAGTACACAGGTGCCAGGGATGTTAAACATTTTGCTATGCTTAAATCAGATTCACACAGCAAAGAATCACCTTATTCAAATTAGTAATGGCTTTCCTACTGAGAAAGACTGCTTTATTAATATTGCTCCTCAAACTTTAATGTGCATATAAATCAGCTGGAGATTTTTAAAAATGTAGATTATTATTCAATAGGTGTGGGGTGAAGCCTCAAATTCTTCGATTCCAAGCTCCCGGGTAATGCTGATGCTGCTGGCCCTTTGAGAATATAAGCTTTATAGCACGGAAAAATCTCAGAGCTGTGTATATTTATAAATATACACACCCCATTTAATGCTCAGCAATTTTAAGATACAGTTTAAAACACAGATCTGTGTACTGGTAATTGTAAAATTCAGAGAAATAACAAAGAGTTTTCTCAAAGGTACTGTTGTCAAAGAACTCATGCATAGTTTGGTTCTTGTCTTAACTTTAATATATCAAACAGAATTTCAAACATTAGAATCATGATTCTAAAAAGGTTATATACTGTATATGTTTTTACTTTTGAGTTTGCCATTAAACTACATAAGATAAAAACTTAAGCCAAAGTAACTCATTAACTGACAAAAGAAAATTACTTCTAACCTGATGGTCAGAAAGTGAAAGCTGGTCCTCTGGAAAACCTGTTTGTGACAGGAGATGGGTTTTGAATATGGAGTTGTGGTTCACTAAAGTTACTTCTCCAGCGTCCATCCTCATCCTATCAGCAATATCATCTGGAGAAAGAGTCCGGATTAGTTCAAGTCACAGAATCCTTTATAACTACTTTCTTTTCACTTAATAATTCCCAGTCCTGGCCAGTGGCTCAGTTGGTTGGAACATCAGTCCATATACCAAAAAGGCTTTGGGTTCAATTCCCAGTTGGGATAATTACAAGAGGTAACTGATTTTTATTTCTCACACTGAAGTTTCTCTTTCTCTCTCTCTAAAAATCAATAAAAACATGTCCTTGGGTAAGGATGATAACAATAATTCCCAAAGACCAGCCATGCAATTAAATAAGATCTCGCCTTCATAAATAACCATTGGTAAGAAATCTCAAAACTGTCAAGAGTTAAATGCAAAATTTTAAAATGATGACATTTCCCCAAAAGAAATTTTTGAATGTTTTAACTGTAGAAAAAATTTTAATGATAAAAGAATAGAGCCGAAACCGGTTTGGCTCTGTGGATAGAGCGTTGGCCTGGGAACTGAGAGGTCCCAGATTTGATTCCGGTCAAGGGCATGTACCTTGGTTGTGGGCACATCCCCAGTGGGGGAGGGGGTGCAGGAGGCAGCTGATCGATGATTCTCTCTCATCGATGTTTCTGACTCTCTATCCCTCTCTCTTCCTCTCTGTAAAAAATATTTAAATAAGTAAATAAATAAATAAATAAATAAATAGAATGGAGAAAAATTTCATAATTCAAAAACAAACACCAGTTAACAGTAGTTTATTTTTTGTTTTAATTCAAAAAGTGCTTTAAAGGTTAATCAACCTAAAAAATGTTCTGCCAAAAGCAACATTTATTCATATGGCTCTTAACAAACATTAGCTCAATCACCTTAATATTATGGCAGAATCTTACTTTATAACCATTTTTTGAGAACTTAGTTACTTTCTTATAAAAGAGTAGAAGAGAAACAAATAATAAAAGAACTCTATGACATAATATCAGCAATGAGAAAAAAGGGAAACAAATGACAGACAGAAGGTACACAAAACAAAAGGGAAAAACAGAACCGAGAGAGGGGACCAATGTGAAATTAAAAGGAGCAAATATAATGTAAGATCTAACTGTAATGATTTTCAACGTACTCTTCTAAAAATTTTATTCATTTTAGAGCGAGAAGGGAGGGGGAGAGAAACACCGATTTATTGTTCCACTTATTGAAGCATTCACTGGTTGATTCCTGTATGTGCCCTAACCATGGATCAAACCCACCACCTTATTTATCGGGATGATGCTTTAAATCAGAGGTGGGAAACATCCAGCCCTTGGGTCCTGTAAGGCCCCCGAAATCACTTGGTCTGGTCCTGCCAAGGCATTAGAGATGAGTTAATTAAATGTTTGACCAAAGCTGGCTAATTTTTAAGATGATAATTTTGTATGGCCTGAGAATATTATAAATATCCAAATGGCCCTTGGCAGAAAAAAGGTCCTCCATTCCTGCTCTACCAGTAAATGATGCTCTAACCAACTGAGCTACCCAGCCAGGGCTCTCAATCTATTCTTAATTTGGCTACTAGTCTTGACATTATATTGACCCCCTTTGCAGACATAAAGTACTGTGAATAGTGGAAAATGTTCTAATCACAACTGTCAGAGCCACTGGCTAAATAAAACTTAAAATGTTCCTTAATCAAATTATTTCTCATATAGGAGGAAATATAATATTTCCGTAACCTTTTGGAAATACTAAAGGACAAGGACTCTGGAACCAGGCTGCCTGAGTTTAAACCCTGGCTCTGCCAGTTATAGTTGTGTGACCCTAGGCAAGTTTCTTAACCTCGGTGTATAAGTTTCCTTGTCGATATAATGGCAATAATAACAGTGCCTATTTTATAGGTATTATGGGTACCCTTGCAAGATGATTGCAAATCAAATAAATACATTTTAAGTAATTAGAACAGGGCCTACCACATAGTAACTGTCTCCTGGTGTGTATTATTTGGCTTTTTCAATACAATGAATGAGAAAATACTTCCAAACAACGCTACAGAAAATGTCCCAACTAAAAGAAAATTGTTTGATATACTGTATTACATAATTAGTATGAGATCTCCCTTAAATTATTAAGCACAAAAATGAAAATATTAAAAGTGTTAAGAAAACCCATTCTTCCAATTCAGCTTAACTAATAAGAGTAACTACAACTAGAAGGACTAGATGACCACCTCATAATCAGTCTTACCCATGTCAGATCTTTTCACATCACTGACTTTAGCAGAAATACATAGTCCTGTAAAAGAAGGCAGAAAACAGAAAGGTTATACGCTGAAATATCTTCTTCATTTAATTATAAAACAGGAAACCACTCAGAAGTGAAATTTGTGTTTTTGGTGGAAAAAAAATATAAGATGATAAGGAGAGTTGACTTGATGAAAAGAGAACTATAACTAGCCTGGGGTATTTCTAAACATTTCTACAATCCGTGCTATACTAAACAGCAATTATGGACTACCCACAAAATCACAGAATATTACATCAAGAAGCAAGTTAGGAGAGCCAACCCTTTGGACATTCATTTGCATTTGGTCATAAAGTTGACTAGTGACTACACTGAAATTCCCAATCCAATGCTCTTGCTATTATCTCATGCTAAACTATTTCATAAGCAAGTGATAGATCTTGTGGTGGTCCTATTAAGACTTGTCTTCCATACACGTCTTATTCAGTAGCCAAACATAAAGCTACTGATATTCTGAGGATAGTCAAGGAATGTCCCAGTAGTACTAAATACTTTCTCCCCATAGTTATTCAAACTGCTAAAATTCAAAGCTCTTTTGCCTATATGAAATTCCTTTCTCCTCTGATGGATCTAATTTTCCCAGAAAAGGAATTTAAAAGCTTAACTGCTTGGGACTAGGTTAATAAACATACCCTCGGCACACATACTTCTTGGCAGATTTCCAAGAGAAGACTAGGCATGATAATAATCACACTTATATTATTCATAATCCTATCACCATTATTCTTAAAAAGATTAAATGCTTCATCAACTACAGATTCGTAACAGGTATTCTCTATTATCACAACAAAGTGCACACACAAAGAAAGGCTTCTTCGGCAAGCAAGAAATCAAAGAATTATGTCCAGAGAGGTTAAGTGACTTGCCTAAAATCATACAGATGAAGCAAAGGAAAAACTAAAACACAGGTAGCCTGACTTTCAAGCAAATGTGATTTTCAACAAACATCACAAAACTTCTCATCCTTTAACATATCCTCAATTCAAGAGCTCATATGCTTTAGCTATATAAAAGCAAGCCCTAACTAATTCTAGGGAATCTATACCGTTTTGTGACTTTAATAATTAAAGCACTAAATTTACAATTTCATGCAAATATATCAAGCTTCCTTGGTGTGCTTATGGCACTTTCATTTTGCCATTTTGTAGTTGCACTGGGCGAAGGGACGTTTAACCCAAGATTCAACATTAAATGCTGGACTTTGGAACCTTTGGTGCCACCAAAATTCTTAAAGCATAAACATGTTTTTCTTTTAAGAAAAGTATTCTAATAATTAATTTCCAAGTTCACATTGGTCATTTATTTTACTGAAAGAACATAAACAGTTACAGATATGTGAAGTCAATTTAGTAACTGAACAGAAGATAACAGGAAATCTGAAAGAAAACAATGGCGAAGTCTTGACAGTAACAGAATGTAACAAGTATGATAAAACATTTATATGCTTACATACATGCAAAGGGGTGATTATGAGTCAAGTTTCTATGAAGTTACTAGAAAGTGTATACTGCAGAGAACTACTGTACAATTAGCTTTAGCCAGGGCCAAGATGTGGTTCGAACCATTTATGATATGAAAAGGGTGTGGAGCCTAACTGGTTTGGCTCTGTGGACAGAGCGTGGGCCTGCGGACTGAAAGGTCCCAGGTTTGATTCCAGTCAAGGGCATGTACCTTGGTTGAGGGCACATCCCCAGTAGGGGGTGTGCAGGAGGCAGCTGATCAATGTTTCTTTCTCACTGATGTTTCTAACTCTCTATCCCTCTCCCTTTCTCTCTGTAAAAAAATCAATAAAATATATATATATTTTAAAAACAAAAAAGAAAAGGGTGTGGAAGTGATCGTGTGACTCACCCGACTTTGTGCTCTGGAAAACTTGGTATGTGACACAGTTTGTACTATATCGTCATGTTTTTGTTTTTGATATTTTTATGTAATACAGCTGGATATATTTGCATGAAAATGTAAAGGAACAAGGTATTGCCAACAAGATAGTATTCTCTCCCTTAAGATTCTAACACCTGAAACACTTTAACACTCCAACACCTTATACACTAAGAAACTTCTTGCATACACAAACATTTACTGTATACCAATTACATACAAGATACTGAGGATAAGAATAAAAACTGGTCCCGGCTGCTGAGAAGATCACTATCTACTGGGGGAAGATCCATAAATGGGTATTTATAGCAAAAAAAATAAAGCTAGTGTGATTAGTAGATGTGGGAGTCAGGTAAAGGAAAGACTTTCAAAGCAGTAGTTAAGAGTTACATCATCTTAGCCTGAAGTAGCACAACCTGTTTTTTAATCCATTTGCTCCCTCTAGATTTATCTCATCAGATGGGTGATATGAAGACCACGTTAATTGTACTCAGATAAAAGTGATGAGGCTTCCGAAATGCAACTAGAGCCCTAGCTGGTTGGGATATATTCATTGTAATCAGGTTAAAAAATGAATGAGACTTCCAAAATGGAACTAGAGCCGTAGCAGGTTTGCTCAGTGGATAGAGCTTCGGCCTGCTGATGGAAGGGTCCCGGGTTCGATTCCAATCTAAGGGCAGGTTCCTTGGTTGCAGGCTCCTCCCAGGCCTGGGCCACCAACAGGGTGTGTGCAGGAGGCAACCAATCTATGTGTTTCTCTCACATGAATGTCTTCCACTCTCTCTAAAAGATCAATGGAAAAATATCCTCAGGTGAAGATTAACAATAACAAAATGATTAATTCTTTAAACACAGACAGAAAATGGAATTGGAGGGAGGTGGGCAAGGTAGGGAATCTCTCAGTTGGAAGAAAGTTAAGGAATCATGCTTAAAGAAGATGCTTAAAGTTTCACTTATGTCATTTCCAATTGAGTGTCACCTATCTTTCAACAGGCGTCCTTACCACAAAAGATCTTTATAAAGAATAAAGGTCCGGTCTATTCCAGCCAAAATGCCCAACAAGACCCTTAAGTCAAATGGCTGGTAGGCTATAGAAGGTTTTACATGAATTTCATAAGAATCACCACCACCCCAATTATAACCGTGAAACGAGATGGCTTGAACAAGGCTGCCTTGAAAGTGATAAAGGAGCGAGTTATTGCCAACGAGATAAGTGCAAACACTGCAGAGACAGCGATAAACAGAAACCACCAAGCTCAAGCAAGAGAGCCGGGCACACATCCAGAGAGACCACGTTAGGGTTCCCCGAGAGAGAGAGAGGCGGCTCGAGTGGATTACCAGACGGCGATGAGCCAGGTAAGCACCCGCGGCCGGGCAGGGGGCTCTCATGGCCCGGGCGGGAGGGTCCAGACGGCTCTCTCTGGTGGCGGCACCAGCGATCTCCCGTCTCGGGGAGACACCACAGAGTGAACGAGTTGGAGAAATGTTTACGTGAGACGCAGAAGTGGTCGAGAAATACCCTTCAGGTCTCAAGGAAGGCGGGAGAGGGAAAAGGTGTTTTTAAAAAACGCTGATCTTCCCGGCGAAAACAGCTTTCCCGTGAGATGACCCTGCTCTGGCGGGAAAGCTCCGAAACCCCAGCCGGCCTGTTTCCCCACCAGGAGGGCTGGGCGCTGGGCCGGGGGCTGCCGTGATGGCGGGGGGAACACCTCGCCACCGCCGAAGGGGAAAAGGCCTGGAGGAACGGCTCCGGGAGCCTAACGGCCGGCGGCCCGGGCGCCCGCGGACAGCTCCGGGGAGGGGAGGTGGTCCCAGGGGGCGGGGCAGAGGGAGCAGCGCCGTCCCCACCGCCGTCCTCGCTTCCGCCCAGCGCAGCCCAGGTTGCGGGTCCCGGAGCCGCACAATTCCCCGGCCCGGGATCCCTCCATCCTCCCCCTCCCCCAGCTTCCCGCCGCCACTCACCGAACCGGAACCGGCTGCTATACGAAGGGGTTTCCGGCCGGGCGCGGAACGCAAAACCCGGGAACGGCCGCGAACCGGAACCGCCTCCCCGACACCGGAAGAGCCGCTCGGCGGCTGAGGAAGGAGGGGGTTGGGGCAGGAGGTCAAAGAGCACAGTGAAGTGCCGAGGGACGCCTGCGCAGTATGGCGAGGCTCAGAAAACCCTAGGAAGCATCTAAGAAGGTTGTAGTCTTAATTTCTCTGATCTTTCAGTTTGCGCTTTTTTTCTTGTTCCCGGAATACTGTTCGTGTTCCTTTCGTCCTTCGCTTTTCTCTGTTCCCCCCGACCCCCGCACCCGCCGTCTTCTGGTTCCGGTGGGCGATTATTGCTTACAGCTCCGGTTTCCATGGCAGCCTTCTCTGTGGCCTTCCATCTGCTGGAACCTGTGGCCACCTCTGCAGATCTAGACCTGAGAGCTCAATCAAGCTCAGGCTATATTGTGTTTTGAGAATCACAGAACGTTAGTGATTGTAGAGGAATTTGGAGATAGTTTAATCTAACAGTTTCAGAAAAGTGAAATATTTTCCCAAAGTTATAAAGTGTGTAGCAGATCTGGGATTAGGAAATAAGTTTCTTAGTTTGGAGACCTGTACTTTGCACCAGATGATGCTTGATTGGCCATAAGGGGAAAGGAAAAAAAAAGGAGGGGGGGGGGAGGAGTTTAGGATTGGGATAGGTTATATTCTAAACATGTAGAAACGTCCAGAACTCTTGAGGAGTTTGAAACAGGAATGTAGATGTGAGGAAAGCTATTGGGATCTACTACAGATCTACTCTTCTAAATAGAGGAAAGGACCAAAGGGGCTGTTCCTCTGAAGAACTAAATGGCCCTGGTGATGTTCCTGTGACTGAATTGACTAATCTATAATCTGTGCCACCCTTTTTTTTTTCTTCAGATAAAATATTACAGGTTTATTTAAATTTGCCGTACTTTTTAAGAGAAAATAATGGAGAAATATCTTTGTTCATTCAGCTTTTGGGCCTGTCTAGGAACCTAGGAGAAATGCTCCTGAGTAGGTACTCTAGACCCAAATGATAGCCATTGTCTGAGCTCAGACTTGAAGAATGGAAGCCTCTGGAGATCCCCCGCCTCTTACCTACTCTTAGCAGCTGGGAAAGGAGTGCTTGCTGAGTTCAGGGGACCTTGCTCTGTCACATGGACAAAAGTAGATTGTTTGTATCACTTCGTAGGTTGAAGTTTAGACTGTCAGGTCATAAGTCTTTGTTAGTAGTGAACATACCTGGTCTGTGTCACTTTTGTTTATCTTAATCACTTCACAAATCTGTTTGTTCGGATTAAACCCTCTCTATTTCTAGGAGTCAGCCATGCATAAAGAGGAACTGCAACTGAAGTTTTTCATGTGCGTGATTCAGTCTCGCCAATTAGTCAGGACTCCTCAGAGAACAGGTACCTTTGACTCTTGAATGGAGGCTCAATATAGGATGTGAGACACTAATGTAAATACAGGCTTTAGGGGTCAACTGACTCATTTATTCCATGATAAGATCTTTGTCACAGTCGTTTTATGTCCTGGTACAAGTATCAGGTGAGATTTTGGCCTGATATATTTGGATAAGCCCTAGGCAGATGAGGAGGACTTGGGAATTGAGAGAGAATGAGATTTATAGTGCACGAGCTATTAGTAGTCGATTTCCTGTCCTTTGTGAATTATTTTAATCTTTCTGGGTTCATCTATGGGAGTCCTTATTCCCATTGTAATTGATACTCCAAAATTTGTAAAATAAAGAGTCCCAAAGAAAACTGGCTTTCTCTTCCACCCCAGTCTCAAAGAATCTAGTTACATTTTCTGCTTTTCCCCATTTGTATCAAAGAAGTAGAACCTTTTTTGAGATAAGAAATTGTTCCGAAGAGTCATTACTTTTCTAATTTTTCACTGGATTTATGGGGGAAACGCCCTGGATAGCGGAGAGACATAGAGAAAGTAAAAGCGAGTAAGGAGCACTCCCTTTCCTGAATCTCATCTTGAGGGTGACCTAAAAATGTTAATTCTCAGCTGAGGAAGCTTCAACTTCCAGCATGCTCATACAAAAGCCACCATCTGAGGCACATGTTTTGAAGAGTCTAGCTACTGTGGATGTTCCAGTTTCCATGGAAGGCATACCTATTTTGGCAAATGGTGAGGTGTGTGGTTAAACTAGGGGGAGGAATATGGAAAGGACTATTGGAAAGTGAAAAGTTTATGCATAGCATTATAATTTAGGATAGATCTACCAAATTTGAATTGAGAGTTAAAACACAAGGGATTCAGAAAGACAGAGAGAAAGATAGGTAGATATCATCTTGGGAACTTTAGAAAGAGGGACAATTCTCGCAGAATAATTGCTTGATTTAGTCAATAGTTAAGTCAATTGGTGCCCTTGTAATTGTAAGATACCAATCTGGTTTGTCCTATTATCAGCAACCTTGACACATAAAAATGGGAAATTTAAAAATGGATTAGATTAAGGAGTTATTATACTGCAAAGTAATTTCAAATATTGTAAAAAAAATATTCACCTTAGGAACCATTTAATAATAAATTTCTTTTGTATGGTTCATCTCATAAGCAATTTATATGAAACTTCAGAAACACATCTTTGTTTCTTCTCAACTTAAATATATCTACATGGGAGTCAGTTCATTGCAAATACTTATTGAGTTCAACTATGTGCCCAGTAATATACTAAAAATGATAGAGAGGTTAAATATGTATATCATAACCTTACCATTGTCCCAATAGTTTGTATTTTGAAAATACCTTAGAGTTTACGCCAATTCTTTATATTTTCAGAAGGAATTTAGATCTCCTCAAAAAGTTAAATTCATTGGAGTAATTACTCCCAGCGCCTGTGAATAATATAATACTATTTATTCAATAATCTTTTGGAGCATTTACTAGTTGAAGTCATTGTACTAGACCCTGCAGGAGATGAGAAAATGAACTAGTGACTCCCTGTCCTCCAGGAGCTGCGGGTTAAGGAGGGAAATAACAGAAGACAATGTTAAATTACTTAGGTTTAAAAAGTTGAACTTCAAAAGATACGTCATAGGCGCCAGAAAGCAAAATCTCAACAAATTGAGAAAATGTTGTGGAGAATGGCAATTTTACAGTTTATTTTATACATTAGACTCAAAGTGGGAGCCATAAGGGGGTTTACATGAAATTTACTGGAGAAAGCAAAGTGGGGAAATCTCTAAGATTGGATAAAGAGTAAAATGGAGAGATACATCTTTTACATTGGTGGGTATAGGATAGTTAACAATTCACATTTTCAACACAGAGAGATGGTATTCAGGAACAGCATAACAATGAGGGGTTCTGTGGTCTCTGTTCTGGTGTCCTGAGGGCTCTGGAAAAGGAGATTGCTCTGACATTCCAAAGAGGGGGGGGAAAAACACACACACAAAAAACACCAGAAACAACCCAGAGGTATATTACCTAAGATTCAAAAAGGCCATAGACAGGCTTACTCAAATTAAGACTGATCTTTGTCAAGGAAGCTACAGGCCCAGGACCTGCCATGAGCCACTTTTAGTTAGGAATTCTTATGTTCAGACCATCTGATATGTTACTTTTAGTCTCTGAGTTTGTAGTGCCTATGATGCTGGCCTCCTCTTGGCTTATCAGGTTTAGTATGTGGTTCCTTTTTTATTCATATATATCAAGTGTGCGTGTGGTTTATGTCCCTTTAATCAGATTTGCTTGCCCGTGAATTTAAAGCTACTAGGTACAAGAAATCAACCCAGCTGGTGGCCTTGTCCTATAATTTATTTTGAATTTGTATAGATTATTTCTTTTTATTTATTGATTTAAGAGGGAGAGAGAGTGTCAGAGAGAGACATTGATTCATTGTTCCATTTATTTATGCATTTATTGGTTGGTTTTTGTATGTGCCCTGACAGGAACTAAACCCTCAACCTTGGCATGTTGGGACCATACTCTAAGCAACTGAGCCACCTGGCAGGGCTAGATTTTTCTTATTTTCCCTCAACTTTCTTGATTTTCCCATTCTCATTTTTCTCTATACCTAATACTCTCCTCAGACTCCATTTGCTCTGATGACCCCTTTGGACCTACTTCTGTGTTTTGAACTCAGCAGTATCCCATGGGAAAAATTCCAATGTTCAACTTCTGCCTTTAACCATTAAGGCTTCAGATAAGAGCTCTATCCAACTCTTCCAGCTTTCCCACTAAAGATGAAATATCAAATATACATCTTCCCTATTAGCCCCATTGGGATCTCCCTCCATTTCTGTCTTCTCTCTGCATGCTTCCCTATTATATTTCCTCTTTTCTTCTTATCTCCCTCCTCCTTTTCATTTCTTCCAAGAAAATTTTCACACACTGTGTCAGGCATTATAAACTAAATAGATACACCGCATGAAACTTACAATCTTGTGGGAGTAAGATAGTAATCAACACAAACATTTATATATATAAAACCCTAAGCAACCCTTAGACTGACCAACCATTGGGTCGGTTGCTGTGATGCGCACTGGCCACCAGGGGGCAGACACTCAACACAGGAGCTGCCCCTGATGGTCAGTGAGTTCCCACAGCAGGAGCTCCACTCATCTGACTGATGGGTGCCAGACACCAGGCTTATGGCTGGTAAGCACAGCTGTGGTGGTAGGAGCCTTTCTCTGGCAGCCACAGCAGGGCTAGAATGAGCAGGAGCAGGGCTCAGGCTCTTCCTCAGCTGCCTGCTGCTTTGCGCACTACATCCCCTCCCCACTCACCCCCAGGGGTCCCAGATTGCTAGAGGGTGCAGGCCAGGCTGAGGGACCCCACTAGTGCACGAATCCATGCATTGGGCCTCTGGTGGTTAGATAATTAGAATGGTGCTAGGCTGCCCTGACTGGTTTGACTCAGTGGATAAAGGGTTGGCCTGTGGACTGAAAGGTCCTGGGTTTGATTCTAGTCAAAGGTAGAATGCCTGGACTGAGGGCTCAATCCCCAGTGTGAAGTGTGCAGGAGGCAGCCAATCAGTTATTATCTATCATCATTGATGTTTCTATCTCTTTCCCTACCCTTTCCTCTCTGAAATCAATAAAAATATTTTTTTTTTAAAACACACAATGAATGGTGGTAGGCCAAGGAAGGAAAATAATACCACCATGTACTCGAAGTATAAAACGGGACCTAATCTGGACTGAGAAGTAAGAAAAACCCTTCTTTCTCAAGAAGACCTGAGAGATGAGTATGCCATTAGCCAGGCAAAGAAGGAAGAAGAGTCTTTTGAAAAAAGGGACAGTGAGCTCTGAAATGAAAAGGAGTTTGGCTCATTGGAGGAGTAGAGAAGGCCCACAGGACATGAGTGAGAGGAAGAGTAGCTGGAGAGTGAACCATAAAAATCGTATTAGCCCTGGCCTGTTTGGCTCAGTGGATAGAGCCCACCATCAGAGCTCATACAAGGAGCAACCAATGAATGTATAAATAAGTGGAATAACAAATGGATATTTATCTTTCTCTCTTCCCTTCCCTCTCTCTCCCCTCATCTCTCTAAGCATGTCCTTGGCTGAGGATTAAAAATAAATATTTTTTTTAAAAATCCTCTCCTATGCATAAATCTCTCCTATTCACCGATGAGCAACAGGCCTTGGTTGGTATCCTGTGACTCTTGAGAAGACTACTTTCCGGGCTGCAAATGGAGGATCATGCCAAGATAGCAATTTTACACCCATCTGCCATCTGTGCCACAGCTTCTCCCCGGAAGCTCAAGACTTTACTGTCATATTCTTTATTTCATATAGGCTACCTGTCAGCATTGCCCATGCCCCCACCATCTTCTGTTCCTTTGACAGTATACTCATGGTTTATGCAGACTGGGATGCAAAGTTACCCTAATATTGTGAGTGCAACTAATAAGTAGAGATGATTGCTTCCTGTAGCCCAAGTTCTTCCTAAGCAGGTACACAAGATTCCCTATATATAGATGCAATGTTATAGTGATGCAAGAACCTGCATTTTTTTTACGGTAAATATATTTTATTGATATTTTACAGAGAGGAGGAAGGGAGAGAGATAGAGAGCTAGAAATGTCGATGAGAGAGAAACATCGACCAGCTGCCTCTTGCACACCCCCTACAGGGATGTGCCCACAACCAATGTACATGCCCTTGACCAGAATCAAACCTGGGACCTTTCAGTCCACAGATTGACACTCTACCACTGAGCCAAACTGGTTTCGGCAAGAACCTGCATTTTTGTTGAAGGAAAATCAATGGAGTTCTTTCTCTACCAAGATTTCCTTAATCTCAACCTTCTGACCCTAACCTTCCAGAACCAGCTCCAGAGAACTTGGGTTTTCCTAGAGCTAAAACTCCCAGGACTCTTATAGTAGTAACTAGAAGCCCAGTGCACAAAATTTGACCCACCCAATCCTGGACCCTCTCCAATCTGGGAC